ACAAAGCATGCGTTAAACTCCACAATGAATTAATAATTCCTAGATTTTACTATTAACATGACGTAAAGTCATGATTTTATTAATGACACTTAGGCGAGTATTATGCTTTCTCTTTCCTTTAATTTCCCTCAGCAGCGGAGAGAGAAGAGAAAAAACATAACGTTTCATAGTAACAGTGCAAACAATCAGCACTCATCAACTAGTATATAAGGTGTAGCACTCCAACACTCTTCCTCTTTCCATTGCGATCCAAAGACCAGCAGAAAATCGAAATCCCAAAACTGATTCGAACTGTAAACTGGATAGCAGCCGTGTATTCTTCCTCCGTGGAGTAACAATTTAACTTCCTCTCAAGGCTTACGAACTTTGGTTTCTGTATTCAGGCTAAGAAAAAAAGGTGTACCTTGGGATCATTTCTTATTTTTTATTACATGTATATATCTGGAATGGGAACAGATTATCTTCCTTTAAGAGCACCCTTTTCCTTATAAACCACACACATACTACCCATTTTTCAGTAGAGCTCTTCCTGTAATTTTATGTTTGTATGAGAAGAAAAGAAAAAATATGGTAATAACGAAATTTATGATACGATTTCCGCATATATATATGTCAATATGTGAGATATCATAAAGAAAAGACAACTCAAAGTCAACCATATAACATTGCAAAAAATACATCCTAACCTGATCTTCGGTTCAAAAACTAATATGTGTACTTACCCATACAAATCTAACATAAGCTGACGTTTAGTAATAGGTCATCCCAATATCCCAACCCGAGGGAGGGTGGGTGGGAAAAATACTCGCCTCCGTGTCATTAATAAAATCATGACGTTACGTCATGTTAATAGTAAAATCTAGGAATTTTATTAAAGACATAGAGTCTCCTATTATGCTAGTTTATAGCAGAGCCTCAACTAAATCTGAGAAATGTTGAACTGATTTGAAGTAGTAATTTCGGAACGTGGACTCCTTAGCCTTTAATACATGTTCCAACCTACAACCTATCGTTGAAGCTTCAATGCCATAGCGCCTCTGACCGAATGAAAGGAGAAGATTGTGGTATCAATTCTGGCTGATGTGGCCCAGCCATTTGGCCCAGCATGCCAGCGTAGGTGTAGACACCGGTAGATGGGGTCTCTTGAATGAGATGAATAGAGGACCGTCTTGAGATAGCCGCAACGGGGTTGTGCTTAATTCATATTCCTTCAGACATGAGATCGGGCACAGGTTCGGATGACCCGTGAACCTAGGATAGAAGACGTTCTTAGTCGCAGACTTCGTCCTCCAGGAGATGTAGAAGGATACTCCTTCCGGGTTGAATACCCAGGCTTGCCTATCCAAAGCTCTGACGTCAGATACACGTTTGCATGAGAGTAAACAAAAAAGCATGGGTAATTTGGCTGATAACTGTTTCAAAGATAATTTGGCATTCTGAGGCCAGGTGTCTAGGAGGTTGAAGATCACATTCACGTCCCAAAATGATCCATACTTAGGTTTTGGGGGACGTGAAAACCGAATGCCCCTGAGTAGATGGCAAATCAATGGATTTTGTCCGATTGGGAGACCATGTGGCAAACCTAGCCACTTGGACATTATACAGAGACTGTGGCTTTAAGGGTTGCCTGTATGGTTGTGGTGATATGTATGTCCCTGGGTGTAATGTATGCTGACTGTATAACATTGTATTGCCTGTATTGGCTATCTGCCGAAAGCAGATAGCTGTATTTCATTTCGTTTCACGAACGGCACCTTTGCGGGCCATTCGTGAACCGAAAAAAAACCACCCTGTAATAGCCCACACATTAGGAGACGTGTGGCGCTTGTTACAATGTTGCAATCGGTAATTAGAGGCTCTCCTAGGTGGCCGTCGTTCGACTACCGACCACGCGGCGGTCGGCCATCTTGGATCCTTTGTTCCTCCAGCAGTGTTTGGTCGTCGAGCGCGTGGTACTAAAAATGGCTACTCGACGGCGCGAACATCGCTGGACTTCCAGGCCGTTCGGGAGTTCCGGGCCGTTCGGTATTTTATTCCCCATATGCCGATCAGTCTTTTGAATGCATGTTTTGGTGAATATGTTTTTCATGCGGCGTTCGGTTATTTTAGCTGGGATCTGAGCGGTAATCTCACGAATGATGCGCTCAGACCCCAGCTATTTACCGAACGTCCATTCGTGCAAATCAACCTAATATTCAAAAAGTTATGTGTTTTAATATAAATTGCCGGTTCTGCTGCACGGAGGGATAATCCACTTAACGGTACATTCCAGTGGGAGTATCCCTCTCGTGCAGCAGTGCCTGATGGGAGAAATGCTCTGTACTTTAAGTTCCCCACGTAGTCCACTCCTGGAATACCCCTGGGATAGGACTCAGGAAACCCCTTGCATGGGGAATTGTATAAATTGTGGAGCCTGTGAATAAAGCCTCAGTTGACTCTCAGAACTGTGTTTCATCCGGTTACTGGGAGATTTGGGATATTGCCTTACTTTTCAGCGCTTGACTGTGGATTACCTTCTAAACCAGCGGAGATCATGGGATTTAATATTGCCACTCCACTAAAGACCATCTAAACTTTTATGACCTGCCAAGATTGCTGACCGGTAGAGATTGACAGTACGAAAAGCCTTGCCCAATTCGAGGGGTGAGTAAGAAAATGCAATACCATCTTTACAGGAGCTGATATATGATCCACCGACCGTTCTAGGCACCAATCAGCCCACGTTTTCCAGGCTGTGTAATAGGAGCATTGTGGAGCCCAAGCGCTTGCCAGGAGTTGGGTAGTCGTGTGTGAAACATTGTCCAGGGTCCCTGGAAATGAGCCATGCCAATAGGCGAAGAAGGCCCTGGTCTATGAGTCCATGACTATCCCCATCAGGATTGTTCAGGAGGAAAGGTAGATCCTGTCTGTAATGGACGTTGTCTAGTTTGAGGAGGATTAAGCAAGAGATGTTCTTGGGAGAGAGACTGCGAATGGCAAACGAGGCTGCCAACAGTTCCAGGCAATTGATATGCAGAAAGGATTTTTCTGTCTACCATCTGCCTCCGGTGGATATGGACCGCTGCAGCCCTGGAAGCGTGCGTCTGATTCTATCACAAGATCTGGAGTGGATCAGAAAATTGCTTGCCCATTCGATGCTTCCATGTGGGCCAGTCACCAGGTTAATTCTTCCCTGGATTCCTCATTTAGGAATGAGAAATGCATGTTTCGTATGAATGGCCATTTCTCAGGTACGATGCCTTCAGTCTCTGTAAAGCCTTGTAGTTTAATGGGCCTAGGAAAATTGGATGGAGGCGGCTAACAGACCGATGACCCTCGCTAGTTGCCGCAGGGATATGTCCAGGCGGTTCATCAATCGTTTTATCTCCTTCTTGATGTTTGAAATTTTCTCTGTCAGGAGACATAGAACTTGTTGGATGGAGTCGACCGGAAATCCTAGGAACTCCATACGTTGAGATGGTTGTAGAACTGACTTTTTCCAGTTCACCAAGAAACCTAGGTTCTGAAGGAGGTGTATAGTCCAACTGAGATGGACGGTCAGTTGTTCCTGTGTTTGTGACAGTAGAAGGATATCGTCTAAGAATATGATTAGTCGAGTCCCGTGTATTCTCAGGAAGATCGCCACCGGTTTCAGGACTTTCGTGAAACACCACGGGGCTGAGGACAGGCCAAAGAGCAGGCATGTGAAACCTCCATTTCATTGCTTCCCATCAGAATTGTAGCAGGGGCCTGTGTACTTCTGCCACGGGAATAGTCAGATACGCATCTTTCAGGTCGAGTTTGACCATCCAATCCACCGGTAGTAGCAGGTCTCTGAGGCAGTGAATGCCTTCCATTTTGAAATGCCGATATTGGACAAAGTCATTCAGTGGTCATAAATTTATAACTGGGTGGACGCCTATGCCCTTTTTTGGGAGCAAAAAAAAGATTGCTCACAAACCCTGGTGTATCCCAAGGGATTTCTTCTATAGTATTTTTTTGCTTGCAACTCCCTGACCTCCGTGGAGTTCTGGTCGTGATGTTCTGTGGACATCATGAGCATACGAGGTGGGGTGTCCTGTATGGGTAAGCTGGTTAATTCTAAATGGTACCCCAGGGTAGTGTGTAGTACCCATGTATCGGACGTAATCATAGCACAGGCTCGATGAAAGAGAGACAGCCTTACATGGGAAAAATAGGGATACACAGTACTCACTGTAAGGACGTTTTCCTGGTGTCGTTCCTCGACCGCCTCGGGCAGTCCAAGGACGTCCTCTAGTCAGGAATAAGGGGTGTAGGTGCATTCCTGCCCCTGTCTAGATTGATGGAAGGAGCCTCTGCATGGTCTGTTAAAGCCGGCTAGATGGTTCCCACCTTTACCGGCCCCACCAAAAACCTTCTGGTGGAACACTTGTTTTATGGAGCTCTGCGCCTTATCTATGCGCTGTGAAGGTTTTGACGTAGGATCCGAGGTCCTTGACAAAGGACTCGCCAAACAATAGGCCTTTAGCAGCCGCTCCAGGTTCAGTGGTGGCCATGCTAGCTAGCTTAGATTCTATTTTGAGCAGGATAGCTTTCCTATCCTATTTCCTATCCCTTTCGTTCTATGGACATGGCCGATTTGACATTGCCAACCATGCACACCAGGCGTTGCCACCATCAAAACGATATGTCGCAATCAATTTGTGTTTTACCCAATTGTGCTGATTCCAGCAGTTCATATAGTTTAGTAATAGGGTCTAGTGTGTCCAGGAACTTATCCTGGCAATTCCGTAAGGAGTAGTCTAGGCCCTTCTTAGGCTTCCAGCCGTTTTTTGTTAGAAATTGTACGATCTGAGGATCGACTTCGGGTGTCTTGGCCACCATGTGCGGGATAATGGGTCGGGGGCATTCAGCCCTCAGTTCATTACGGCCCTCCTGGGAGAGGGGTTTGCGGTCCCTCAGCGCCAAGTATTGTGCAATATGCTCTGGTGGCTCCCATTCAGCCGAGCGCGGATGGCCAATTGTGTCCCCATGAAGTTCTAATCCTCGGAAACCTCGTCCTCATAAAGGTCTGAGAATACCTCATCTGAGCCCTCCTCATAACTATAATCTGAGTCAGACATGATGTCATGGGCCCTCTCCCGTTTCCAATGTCTGGCCACTTTTGCCCGGCCAGCGGCTCTATTTCGCGGTTGTTGCGCGCCACCTTGGACAGCCTGAGGCATGTCATTCAAACCAGGGTTATCCTGGGTATGTGGAGGGGCATCAGGGTGTTTATGCTTACTCAGGGCCTTGCAAGAGGTTTGTGGAGGGGCCTGGGTTGTAGAGTGCCCTTGCATAAATACCTGAGTTACGAACCGTGTAATTGTGGAGGAAATGACCCCCATGGCCGATGCTGAGGCCTTATTGATGAAGTTTGTCATAGTTACGTCCAGTAGGCTTTGGAATTCCTCTGAGGCCATCATATTGGCATCGGGATCAGAGGCAGTAGTCCCCATGACGTTCAGAGGGTGGTCGATAGGCCCATCACCAGAGGCTTGCATGTTGCAGCTACAGAATCTCCACAGAGGATGAGAGATTATCAACTTTTTAAATAATATATAGACCTATATCAACCAGCCCTGTGGGGTTATCAGGGCAAGTAAAGGCCACCAGAATGTATGAAAAAACCTAAGGTAGGGAGGATATAGGAAGATCTAGGTGGTAAGGATTGCTTAATCCAGCCACCCAACAAAGTAATTAGGAGGAAAAAAACCTAAAGAAAAAAAATATATATATTAACGATGCCAATGCAAAACAGGGAGTGTGCCAGAGTGATAGGAGCCATGTTCCGCTATTCCGCCAGACTGCGCTGAGAATACCACTCTTGGGCCGCACTAAAATGGCTGCCGGCATTGGCGACGACGTGAAAACCAAGAAAATGTCCGCCGCGAGCACACAGCGCATATGCGGTGGTAATAGTGGGATGGACGCCTGCCTGCAAAAACACGCATTAGAGGAATTCAGAACAGCGTTAGCCTCCCGTGGGAGGATCGCCGACAGCGCCGCGGGCAGAGGGAACAAACACAGCAGGGGGCCACTTAATGTCTTCCCTCGGTTGGCAAAGTTTTGGATGCCGAGAGGGTGGCAGGAGTGGGACCCACAAGGGGAAGGAGGGTGACTTTAGTCACAGATCCCACATTCCCAGGGGCACACTCCAGAGGATTAAACCAAATAAACATATAATCAAGCAGTTAGAAATAATATTAATCAAGTGGAAAAATTACCAATAGAGTAAAATATTTGTTATTGTCAAACAGCGTAAAGAAGCAAAAGTACTTGGTCAGAGGGAGCAGTGAAGAAAGAGAGGAGTGTTGGAGTGCTACACCTTATATACAAGTTGATGAGTGCTGATTGGTTGCACTGTTACTATATAATGTTATGTTTATTTTTTCTCTTCTGTATACATCTCAAATTAAAGGAAAGAGAAAGCATAATAGGAGCCTCCGTGTCTTTAATAAAATAAAATCAATTAAATTGATCCTGTAACTGTGCTATGGCCATAAAACATAATATAAACTTAATCTGAACAGTAATATTTTAACCGGTAACAGTTTTGTGATAAAACACTAATAAATAATCACATTACCACTTACGAGCTCTAGGCTGTTTTGGGAGTTAGTGACAATTTATAAATTTAGTTTAAATTTATAAGCTGTTTAGATTTTTATTGAGAGATGTTTGTTTTAGAACATATAAAATAAAAAAAAATAGTTTACTGTAAAAACATATAACAGAGCATATAAAATAGAACAGTTATCTGCCAGAGAAAATATTTGTTGATGATATGAATAGGTCAGCTCACATATATGAATTGGGGAGGCATAGAAGATCATTCACTGAACAAGACTTCTTGGTCACATTGTATGGCTATTATTTTTTTAGAAAGCATAGCTGCAGGATTAAGTCCCTTAACACCAATCTCAATGCTGTTTTAGTTAATGTCAATTTAGGCACTAGCATGATGACCTTTAGTTAAAGGGACACTCCAGGCACCCGTGACCCAAACCACTTCTGCCCATTTCTGTGAGTTTCTGTAATCTGATTGCTAACATGGTACATAGCAATGTGCAGTTTTAGAGTACTGATAAATATAGTGAACCCTTAATATGTTAGATTAAGGGGAACTCACTATTTACAGTTTATTCCTATTTTATCAAGAAGTTTTCAATATTATTTGTCTAATGCCATTTAATTCATACATAATTATACCATGTCTTTTTCAGAAAGCTAAACCTTACCTCGCAATCATTATATTTCTGACTAATGGGTCTAATTATATTATATGTATGCACTTTAGTATGTCTTGTTTATATCAGTGGTTTAATATGAAACTTTATTGTTGATAATTGATAATTTTACTGACTGTCTTGTTATATTGAAATTCAATAAAAATTATTTATAAAAAAACCCTGAAAAGTGTTTTAAACAAAGCTGGATATCCTCAGGCTATGCATGAGGACTTCCAGCGTCGCCAGAACCCCTATGGGAAAGCACTGAATAATGCTTTTTTTCAATGCTTTCCTATGGGGAAAATCTGACGCTGGAGGTCCGTCAGGACCTCCAGCGTCAGATAACGGACCAAAAGTCTGTTTGGATTCCGAAAGCGCCCCCAGTGGCTGCCTAGTAGATAGCCACTGAGGGCAGATATAGAGCTGCATTGTAAACATTGCAGTTCTGTGGAACTGCAATGTTTTACATTGCAACACTATGTGCAAAAGGGACACAGCACCCAGACTACTTCAATGAGCTGAAGTGGTCTGGGTGCCTACAATGTCCCTTTAAATCCTAAACATCATTTGTACCTACTATGTATTTCACCTACCTGCAGTCTCTCAGCCCAACCCAAATCTCGAATTCATGACTCTTATAGCACTCAGGTCTGTTTAGAAATTAAATTTACTATATATAAAGTAGAGTGGCACTCGCTAAACAATACCCATCCATAGGGGGACCGGACCAGCGAGGACCATTCCCAATGTATCAATAATCATGAACAAAGTTGGACTGGGCACATATATGTGCTGTTAAGGCAGATTTTATTGGACAACCATATAATGTTTGGCTACCACAAGAACCTGTGTCAAGATGTTGTATGTACAACTTAATGTAGTGTTTTTGGTGCATAGATTCTGCTCCTGTGAAATAGTAATCTTTTACATTTTTGCCTAAAAGTCTCTAGTATATGTCACACAGAAATCCATTCATCCTTATTAAGACCTTCAAATTTGGAAAGTCTTCACATTGAATCTCATCATGCTATGAATGGATTATCCAAAACCAGAGTAAGGAATATATTCTGCAGCAATAATTATACTCAAAAAATATTAAAATCAGATATGTCTGTCTGCTGGTAAATAGGTTCCTGTGCTGCCTGCAAACTGTCTCAGTGCTATGCATGGTGCCCATTTACCCAGATGTGAGTCCCTAGGAAGCTCTAAGGGATATCCTGTATATCTCCTATTCCACCTCCTCTTCCCTTCAAAGAATCTCCTCATGTAGAGAGCCATGCACAGGGAGGGAGAGAGCGGCTGCAGCCTGGCTCCCTGGATAGACGAATGCAGGCAGGAAGTAAAGGAAGCCCAACAGAAACACAAGGAAAAGCATTCTCCCCCAGCTGGGCTTCATCCCTGGGTAATTAAACCAAGAGACTGGGCAGGTATTGTTGCGTAGGTTTAGAAAGGCTCCATCCATGAGTGTCAGGTGGGGACTCTAAAATTTCCTTAACCCCTGTGATAATTCTTTTAGTGACTTGCAGCAATATTTGCCCAGTTGCTAGTTTTTAGTTAGCGAGAAATGAAATAATTGCTGAATCTCCCTGGTTAGTAAAGAATCTTGGTAATCCTGGTTTCATTTATTTATTTATTTGGGGGTCTGAAGGCCACTTATTAGCTCAACACTTCCATATTCCATATCAATACCTCTAGCCAAACTGCCAGCACCAACACCTTCATATGTTTTATACCTTATATAATCACCTCCCCCTTCCCAACACCTCCAGTCACATTATACCCAACCCATAACCTCTGGAAAATTATAACCCATCCTATTACCTCCAGACAGTTTATAGATCCTTCCAATATGTCTCAAAACCTCCCATCACATTATACTTCTTTCCAACATTAAAAGCCAAATCATAATCCCTCCCAGCATAACAAATCACATTTGCCCCTCCTAACACCTCCACCCTCCTTATATTCTCTAACCATCACCTTAAGCCACCTTATACCCTCTAACCATCACCTTCAGCCACCTTATACCTCGTACCATCACCTTCAGCACCACATACACTCTACCATCACCTACAGCTACCTTATAGCCTCTATCATCACCAGTGGTGAAACTAGCACCGGTGCAGCCAGTGCAGCTGCACCAGGGCCCACCCACTAAGAGCCACCTGGTGGGTATGTGTCAGCAGTGTAAGGTTGGGCACTGTGGCCCTTTAACAGAGCAACTGGGCCCCCTACTTAGCAGCATGGGAGAAAGTGAGGGCCTATCACTTCCTCCCAAAGAGACAGAAACCATGTGAGACAGAGGAGGAGAAAGCGGAGGGACAGGAGAGGCTTGGGCAGGAAAGCCAGCCTCTACCTTTCAACAGGCTTAGCCAGGCTTAGCCTAGACCCCAGGGAAGCCACCCTCCAGCAAAAGGTAGGAAACTGGAGGGTGGCTATGGAAGTGTACATTTTGACCTTCATGTATGTCTGTCATTGTGTATCTCAGGGGCGTACCTAGATCATTTTGCACCCGGGACGGGTCCTATTTTTGGCAGTCAGACACAGTCAGATGCACATAGTTATACACATATACTGTCAAATACAGCCACATGCACAAAGTCCCAGGCACATAGTCACTCGCACACAGTCAAACACAGTTACAGGCAGACAGTAACACACAGTTACACACACAGCTACAGGCAGACAGTCACACACACTCAGATACAGACAGTAGCACACACAATTACAGGCAGACTGTAACAGTTACAAGCAGCATCACACAGTCACAGGCAGACAGTCACACACACTGAGTGACATGCAGACAGTATCACACACACAGTTTCAGGCAGACAGTCACACACACAATCACAGGGGAAGACAGAAACACACACAGTCACAGGCAGACAGTCACACACACATACAGTCACAGACAGTCACAGGCAGACACTCACACACGCAGTCACAGGCAGATAGTCACACATACAGTCACAGGCAGTAACCCACACACAGTCACAGGCAGACAGTCACACATACAGTCACACACACGCACTTCTCTGTGTATCAGTGTGTGTGGATCTGTGTATCTGTATGTCTGACAGTGTGTGCATCTGTGTATCAGTGTGTATCTGTATATTTGTATGTCAATTTGTGTGTCTGTGTATCTGTATGTCTGTCAGTGTGTCTGGTTATCTATATGTGTGTGTGTGTATCTGTGGGTGTGCCAGTGTGTATTTGTATGCAGGGACGCCATCAGAAATTTTGAAGCCCATACATCTGCTCAAGGTCTGGGC